CCCCCCCCCAGCTTGGTGGGACTGGTCGCAGGGGGGGCATGTGCCCCCCCGACTAAGGAGGCATCAGTCGCCCATGGGCTTTGCTGTATATCTCTGGGCATATATGCTGCTTGCTGAGAAGGCTGTGTTAGCTGCCTTCCTCGTGATGCCAGGGCAGTCTGCATGTGGAGTACAACCAGATTTAGCAAGGTTTCCTTCTTCAGCACGTGGCAGCAACAAAAGGAGAATCCTCTTGTCATGGCATATGCTGGACTCAGTATGCCTGATGTTGGGTGCTGCCAGGTCATTAGGGCTTGTTTTACCCTCCAGATTGTGATTTGTCATGATTGCTGCCCCTAGTTTTGAGCCATGTTGTGCTTGACCACATAAGCACCTGCTTTTGTTTCTGCCCCCTGGGGGGCTGAGTAAAACCATTATAAGTAGGAGGTGGGTTGGAAGAGTCTGCTGGGGTTGGGACTCTTGTTGTGGGTTGGGGTAGTTGCTCTGCTGTTTGCTGAGAGAGGGCTGCAACCACAGGCTGGTGAGCTGGGGCCTTCTCTGGCTGGAGTTACCTGTGCCGCTCTACCTTTTGTGAGCTTTGCCAAAGCTAATCGGTGACAAGCATTGCAGACCAGGAAACAAGCTCTCCTTGGCTGATCAAAGATCCTGAGGACATACTCACGTTCCCCAGTGTCTCGTGCCAAGGCTTTGCCTGTCGTGTCCTTATCCAGGGTGTGATTCTGTAAAGGGTAACACCTCTCTCTTGTTGCCAGCAAATGGAGTTGTTCCTTCAGCTCGGCTGGCAGAGGTTGGTCTGAAGCCCAGTGCAAGACTTGTCGTCCTGGCAGAGCCAAGTCGAGGCCAACTGGAGAATTAACCCTTTTGTGCCAGTTGCCTGAAGACCTGACCCGAGATGTATTGCCTGGGCCAGCTTGTTTATGCTGTCTGCTTCTTATTTAATGTAACTGCTCTCTCTGGGCAGTTGCTTGAGTGTGAAGAGCTGAGACCTGATGGCTAGAGCAGATGCCCAGGAGTGAGGCCTTTCTGCTCTATTTCCAACAAGTTTTCTTGAGTTACTTCATGGCTTGCTGCCTCGGTTTCCCTACTTGGAACATAGAAAGCTTGGGGTTGTTAGGACTGATTTGGGCAGGTTGTAAAATGCTTTGAGAGTGAGACAGCTACGGGTGGGGGAAGGAGGCTGTACTGCCCACTACGTTCACCTGGGTATGTTCAGGAGAATCCAGTATGTGAAACAGCAGCCGAGCCACACAGCAAGACTGAAGTGCGTGCCCGGGGCTTAGCTGGACTGCAAGATAGGAGTAGCAGAGGGTGCAAAAGGGCAGGTTGCGTGCAAGGGCTGCTGGTTGGAAATGGTGCGGGTTGGCTGGGTTAATGACAGAGCTGGGTGGTGTTGGCACAGCTGTGTGTGTGGAGAGCTCAGGGCTGGGCTAGCAGCAGGGGCTGCGGTTCTGGGGGAGGATTTCTGTGCCACTATGCCTGGTGCTATGGTAAGGCAGCGCTTTAATGGGGCTCTTGTTCCTGCAGCGTGGCTACCATCTCATCTCTGTTTGGCCTTTCTTTTCTCCCCCTTGTCCAGACGAGATCCTCCATTCCCTGGCTGGCCCTTCCTCCCTGGCTGGCCACGACCCTCATGGCTGGCGTACCCCAGTGGACTGTGTCCGGGCCAATGAGTTGTGTGCTGCTGAGTCGAGCTGCAGCTCCCGTTACCGCACCCTGCGCCAGTGCCTGGCTGGCCGGGACAGGAACACCATGCTGGCCAACAAGGAGTGCCAGGCAGCGCTCGAGGTGTTGCAGGAGAGCCCGCTCTATGACTGCCGCTGCAAGCGGGGCATGAAGAAGGAGCTGCAGTGCCTTCAGATCTACTGGAGTATACACCTCGGGCTGACGGAGGGTAAGTGTCCTGGGCTACGGCTCTGATCCTTTGGGTCTGTGTTGGGGAGGGGGTTGGACCAGCTGATGGATAAGCCCTGGAGTGGCATGTGCAGGTGAAGGTATGCCTCACTGATAGGGCGTGGGGTAGGATAGATCCAGGCCTGTTTGGTGCTTTGGAGGGCAAGGTCCTTATACACTACAGCCCTTGTAGGGGAAGGTGAGATGATTCAAATCTTCTGGGCTCCCTAGTTGAAGGGGCAGCTCAGCCTTGCTATCTGAGGGATGGATTCAATGCGTTTTGGCTGAGCCGTGAGCCCTATGAAACATGCACTGCTTTTGTGAGCAGATGAAGCAGGCATGGGTTATGGGGTGTGTTGGGAGCTGCACAGCCTGGCCCTGCAAAAGAGCCTCCATGTGGGGGCTGTTTACCTCTGCTTTGAGGAGTGTGGCAGCAAAGACCTGGGTGCTTTGCTATGGAGCTGGGAAGTGGTATATTGCTGGACAGGCCAGGGAGTCTGCAGGCCAATCTTGAATGCACAGCAATGCAGGGTGGGGAGGCCGGGACTGGAGCAGCAGGGCAGGACAGACCTGGGGGGAGTTGGTGGCATTCTTTAAATTCTTTTCCTGCCTTTGTCTGTGCCAGATGGCCCATTATAAGCACAGAGCAGGGTCAATAGGATGTCCTTAAGCAATGTGCGTGAGGCTTCAGTGACTCTCTCTCATTTCCAGGAAGAACTGAAATCTCCTCCTCTCTGCTAAATGCTCCCTCTTCTCTTCTCTCTCTAGACCATCTTCCCCATTCCCAGACTCTTACCCTTCTCCAGACTCATGCATGTCCCACACTGGTTGTGCAATAAAGACCCTTATCCATCCCAGAGCAGAAGACAATTGCAATACACCCAGCTTGGCCCAGAGGCTGGAGCCCTGCAGCCCACTCCTGTGCATGGAAGCAGCTCTGTTAGCTCAGCCTCTGCCTGCCTCTCCACGTTAATCAGCTGATTGTTATTCTGGAAGGTGCATCCTTGTGAAAACCAGGCTGGGTTGGAATAGGGGTCAATGGGGGTGAAGTGAGCATGACGCTGGGCTGTTCTCTGATGAGGCTTTCGCTTAGACCTGCGAAGCGGGGCTGGGTCCCAGGCAGACCTGGGGCAGCTGTGACCCTGTGGAGAACGGGCGCTGGAGGAGATTGGGTTGTAATGAGGAGGCACATCAGGGCATCAAGGCAGGATGTGGAGATGGGAGCACATCTCGCAGGCAGCAAAGTAATTTCCCATTTGTGTTAGGGGGTCAGATGGGCTGGCCTCCGGGCTCTCTGTACTCTGACTGTGTGTCTCCCGCACCCGTGTGAAACAAGCTGTCGATCTCGTCCTGGTGTTGGTGCCACTCGGGCTGGGCTTGTGGATCGTCTCTCTCCTCCAATACAGTGTTAACTTCTGTCTGTCGGCGTGCAGTGGAGCTCAGCTTGGTGTCCAGGGGTAGGGGAATGGTGTGGAAAGAAGCACCTGGTCTCTGTGCTCTGGAAAGCAGTGTGGGCTAGTGGTTAGCAAGCCCAAATTGACTTCTGCTCTGTTCCCCACCTGGACTGTAACAGCTGCCCTGACGACTCTGTGCTGACATCCCAGAAGAGCAAATGTGGCCTCTGATCCTGCCTCCGGTTTGCTTTGCGACAGGCTGCTTCTCTCTGTTCTTCCATGGCATGGGTCATGAAGACGACCCTTCTCTGCGAGGTGCTTTGAGATCTTTTGGGCAAAGGTGCACAGGGCTGCCTTGGCTATTAGCATGCACCTGCACTGCTAGCAGGTAATAAACCAGCTCAGCTGTGCAGAGAGACCTTGGTAGGGTGGCAGACTTATTTATCCCTTTATGTGGATCATTTGCCACAGGAATAAGAGGAGTCAAGTGAGGAGTGGGCTGAGACCCTGAGGGTGGAGGGGCAGAAGTGGTTTGTCGACTGCTGGATGACTCTGGGGGCGAGGGGATGTGGATCCCAGGGGACAGGCAGGGCATGGAGCTGCAGGCTGTCATTGCTTTGTTTGTAGGTTAAAGAGACCTCGTTTGTCAGCTGCCCCAACCTTGGATACCAGGCCGGCACCTCCTTCACACAGGCCTGTCTCTGGGCAGCATGCCGGGGGTGTGAGCGCAGTAGGATGGCCCTGGAGGGATCCTGGAGCTGGCTGCTCCCATTAACATACTTCTTCAAGCTGCACCAGGGCAGCTGTAATTGCAGGCAGGCAAAGGCATAAATCAGAGGCAGGAGCAGTGCTAGTAATTGAAATTGGATTTTGCCAGCACTGGGCTGTTCGGTTATTGATGACAGGATTATCTACTGTCTTCTCCTCTTCAAAGGGCGAGGTGGATCTCCCCACCTTGCTCCTCCAGCTCCTCTCCCTATAGGTGTGTAAGCCCAAGGCTCTAGCTTTTCTTTGCTGCACACCCTAGCCTGAGGCTTCCTGATGCTGATGGTTTTGTGAGCATGGGGACAGTGCCTGTGGAGCCCAAAGCGGAGCGGGTGTGGACCTGGATGTGTTGTGGGCAGCTCGCGTTGTGCGTATTGAGTGCGTCTGCTAACGCTGGCCTCAGTGACTCCTTGGACTATCTGTTTGTGCTCCGCTGTGGGGAAGGTGTATTTTTTAAACCACATTAAAATGCTGGTGGAGGTGAGGCAGGTTATTAAGGCACATTAGCTGCTAGAGATGAGCCCTGGATGCATCATGGAAATGTGGGTCAGATGGATGACTGGAAAGCCAGCCTGGAGGCAGGGATCTGTGCTTAATTGGGCTTTGCCCCTCATTAGCAGCCTTCATTCAGGGGCTTCAAAAGACTTGGTGGACATGAATGAATGAAGACTTATGTGTTCAGGAGGAAGGGATGGCCTGAATTTTTCTAGGTTCACCTCCATAGGTTTCCTGTTCTCTGTGTGTGCCCTTTTATCTATGCTCCATAATGGGAGGTAGAAGGCCAGAGATGAGGAGGCAGTTTGTAGCTTCAGTGTGTGTTAGCAGGTCAAGGTAAGCGCTGTGGAGAGCTGGTGGTTTGCTTTGACCTTCCCCTGCTAGCAGAAGTGGCATTGCCTTTGCTGGGGTGTTCTCACAGGCACATGAAGTGACAGTGCATCTCTTTCTCACAAAAAAAGAGAGCTAAATTACAGGGACAGGACCCAGGACTCTTGACTCCTACTCCTGTGACCCCACCCAGAGGTTCAGATCTTGCTGGTGGGCTGATGGCAAGATTGAGTCCTGGACTGAGATGGCAGGGCCTGCTGTAGGACCACCCAAAGCCACTCTGCAAAACCTCACCATGCGTCAGAGACCGCGTTATATGGATAGGCTTCCTGTCCCACAGCCGTCCAGTGTCCCCTCACCTTCTGTGACACTGAGAGACATCCAGTGGTACGGTATTTACCCACCACGCAGGCTAGGTGACTGGTCTGCATATCCCCATCTCTGACCACTGCTGGATTTGCCCACAATGCCTCTGGTTAATAGGCTGGTTTTCGGCTATCTGTCCTCCTCCCGCCTTTGTGAGCCAGGCTGGAGTGCTCCTGGCACCTGGGGGGCTCCGTCCGTTCATTAAGCCAGGCTGCTTCAACCCAGGTGCCTTTCCCGGAGGTTAATTGTATCATAACCTGCTTAGGCGAAGTTTGATGCCCTTTAATACTTGATAATTTACCTAGCAAGCAGCAAGGTTCAGCCGGTATTTAATTATTTATTGAATTGGAAAAGCAATATGCTGGGAGGTTACAGTGTTTCCTAAACACACTTTAATAAAGGTGCTATTTGTCATTGGGGCATTAGTAAACCAAGCAAAGCAAGTGTGTTGTCTTCAAGTGAGAGAGGCTTAGAGTCTGACCATACATATTTCTTTTCATCCTTTTCTTTTTTTTTTTTGACTCCCCTCCAGGTTTATATAACTACCCTGTTTCGTAAGGGCGGGGGGAAGGAGTGGCTGGATCATCATTATGAAGAGCTTTTTGTACTATAGTTGTATATGCAAGCCTCGAGCAAGTTTTGCAGATAGCAGCTGTCTAGGATCTTTGGTCTGCTTAGGGAGGGAAAAATAGGCACATAATACGGTGCTGCTGCCCCATCTCAAAAGGCATTTGGGGCTTTTGTGTTGGCTACTGGGTACCTGATTATGGGAGTGATGCCTTGTCAGGAGGTGGGTTAGCTGAGGAGTTGCTGTGGAAGCAGCCAGCACCTGGGGCCAGTATTTTTGTGCTCAATCCCTTTTTCATGCTTTGGACAGGCTGGTTCCTGGACAGCGGATGTTAGCTAGGAGATCGGAGAAGCTGTGACTGGTGCCTGAGTCACCGTGGACCGGTGCTAGGGGAACTGCCTGGCCTCACATTTGTTTGTACTATCATTGACCTCAGATCTGTTAATCTTAACCCTAGTGTACAGCACAATCCAGGGGCCTGCTGTTTAGCCGCAAGCCTGCTTGAGACCAACACTGGTGGCTTCTCTATCCAGTCAAATGAAGGCTCGGGGCTGTGGGGAAGTGGATTGAGACCCCACCAGTGCATTTTTTCAGAGACCCCCAAATAGGCAGCCAACGCTAACAATGTTGGAACCAGATGAGGCTGTGCTCACAGTCTGCCCCTTGCACGCTCTGGCTTCGGCAGGGCAGGAGGGTGCTCTTGGTTCCTGGTCCCTGGCAGATCGTCGTGCCTTGCAAACCTCTGGAACAATTTCCAGTAATGAAATGCATTCAGAGATGTCTACAGAGGAGCTGGTGGATTGGGCCTCGGCTATTCCTGATTGCTTCCTGCCTGTTAATAAGCCTGTTTTCCAGGGCAAAGTATCAAATGATTTCTTAATTATGGAATAAACGCTACCTTTGTCAAGCTAATAATATCCTGAGTGAGCACAGGCTAGAATTAGTAAGCTAGAAACTTCTCAAAGGCAAGCAGCCTCTTAACCCTCTTTCTGCCTGAGCATCTTCCCCCTCTAGCAAACTTGCTGCTTGTTCAGAGCCCCCCCAGCATGAGGCCTGTTTATCCGCTAAGTAGGGGCATTGCCTGTGGCTGCCTAGGAAGCCTGCTTCATGCTGGCCTGAGTGATGGCTGCATTCAGCACTGACTTTAAAGGACCAGGTGGTATTATTCCCTCTGGGGGAGGCTCTGGGTGTAAGCCACTGACCACAGCAAAGTGTGGCTTTGATCTGTATTACAGCAGCAAGCTGAGGCTGTCACTGGGATCAGGGCCCAGCTGTGCCGGGTGCTGTGCGCACGCATTGTGAAAGTCCCTACCTCAGGAAAGTCCCCTACAGAGGAGAAATTACCTAAATCTTAGAGGCAGGAAGCTGGATGTGGAGGGTCAGGTGAGCATGTGTTACTCTGGGACACTGGCCAAGTGAAGGATGGGCATCACACCCCCTGAGTCCTAGTACAGTGCATTCCCCAGGCAGTCCTTTCCCAGATTGGGCCCAGCAGGACCGGGTTATTCCCAGTTATACTAGTAGCTATGCCACCAAAGCCTGGTGCAGCAGCAGGTGTATGCTGGTGTAGGGGGTAGCATGGAGCAGGACCTGGCCACAGCTGTTGTGTCGGGGGGTGGGGGGTATGGCTTCTGTCTTTAATAGCATATTCCTGTCCTGGAGAATCCCCTCTGGGCAAAGGGCCAGCTTGGAGCTGTGCCATACCCCGGGTCAGCCTCTGCCTCCAGGGACTCGGTGTGGTCTTTGTGGTTAAACCAACCATCCTCTTTGGCTCATGGGGCCACGTGTGGTGTGGCAGTTCAGCTGCTCCTAACACCTCCCGTGCAGCCCCAGCTCATCCATCACCACCATAAGACACTTCCGCATCTGCCAGCGTTGCCTTTTATGCAAGAGCTATCAGTGGAGGTGCCCTGCTCCTCCTGCCCGCTGTGGAGGTGAGGCGGACACGCGTTGAAAGGAATGGAAATCGATGCATGAGGCTATTGGTCAGTCTTCACTGGGGGCTTTAAGCGGGCTTACATTGATTTTTATTTTTTTTTCTCCTTGCTGAGGAGACCACTTCCTCTATCGAGTCCGTATTTCCAGCGGAAAGTGCTGCCGTTAATGATGCTTTCGCCGATCTCTCCTTAGACAGAGACTGTGCAGGTCAGGGTGTGAGGAGTATGGAGACGGTTTCAAGGAAAAAACTTTGTTATTTCTTAGAGTTGCTCTAGGTCTAGGGATTTTTGGTCTCCAGTCTTGTGAGCTTACCTGACAGGGGAAACACCGTGACCACCGAGGCGGTTTTCCTAGTTGCACCCAGGGAAAACCGCTGTCCTGGCATGGGGTAGTACCCATGGAGGTAATGTATAGTTAACTTTCACTTCCAGTGGGAAGATCTTGGCTTCACGCCTACTTTATGGAAATGGGAGACTCCTCCCTCGCTAGCTGCTGGGGCCTTATGGCTGAGGGCAAGCAAAACTCGGGGGCACCCGAACCCCAAGTCTCTGGGCTTGGGCTGGCACGTAGGATGCCCGCTAAAGGATTTGGACATGTCTGAAGCCCCTGGTGAGAGTGGAGGATGTTTGCTGGTAGTAGGGCCATGTATGGTTCTGGACCGATGCATTGATTTGGCTTGGGACACGAAATTTTTTTTTTTTAAAGGAGTCTTGTGAGCTCACCAGTCCTTTCTAGCCAAATTTTGACCTATGTGAAGTCCACGAGCATTTTCCTTCAAGACTTAAAGGGATGCCTCTCATACTGGCAGCTTTCTTCCATTTGCTTTTGCAGTCCCCTTCATCAGGCTTCAAGCTCTTGAGACTTTGTCGGGCCAGCTTTCAGGTTGTGGTCAGTGACAGCTCTGTGGGCTGGAAGCTGGGCTTGCAAATGTCTGCACTACACCAAGTCTGGGTAGAGAACGATTAATAAAGGTTTCTAAATGGAGTTAGCAGGCTGCAGAGGGGAACAGGTAAAATTTCAGTATTCCCACCCAATCAAGTCCTTCCTCGCGCATATTTATGATTAAGGTGCTGCATTGAGGGTAGAGGAATCTGGGTTTGGCATCTTACTCTACCATAAGCAGACTTGGCTCAACTTTGCTCAGAAAATATTCTCGGTGTCCTCGTTTCTCATCTTTGTAATGGGGGCAGCAAGGGCTCAGCACAACAGGGCTGTGGTGGCAAATTCTGTCGCATTTGAGAGTACCTCTGATATGATAGGATGGCTGTGTAAGTCCTGGGTAGGGTCTCGGCTCTCCTATTGAAACATCAGAGATTCCTATTTTTCCAAAATGAACTATAATTACAGCTGGGCGGAAGACAGTTTTCCATTACAGAAAAAATTTGGCCTTATCAAACCTTTTCCCCTCTTGAATTGGATTGAGAAATCTCTCATGTTTTCAGGGACTGTAAATCAAACAAACCCAGAGACCTTTCGTCTTGAGTGAATCAGAAGGTTGCATTTTGAAGTCTTCATTAAATTTAAACTATAAAAGGACAAAGCCAAAAGTCACGCTGGCTTTTCTTTATCAATCTTCTTATTTTTAAAAAAAAACTGAAACGGGGAAGTTTCCTGACCCCCAAAACGATTGACAGGTCAATGGGATTTGGATGCTTAATTCTCTATAAGATGCCTTTGCAAATACCAGTGTCTTATAATTAGCTTTCCTAGAGTGGCTGTGGGGTTGGGGGGCAAGGGCTGGCAGCGTAGCAATGGCAGAGGTGGCTATTGTGTTTATTCATTGTAGGTTTTTCCATCTTTTTTTTTCCTTTCCTCTACTCCAGGAGAAGAATTTTATGAAGCTTCGCCTTACGAGCCAGTCACTTCTCGTCTCTCTGATATATTCAGACTCGCTTCAATTTTCTCAGGTAATAAAAACAAAACATGCTTTCACTGCTTTATTTTCCCTTTCCTGTGAATAAACCTGCTACCGGGCTCCGTGGGAATGAATATTAGCGGCTCTTTCTCCCATTCCTCATTCCCTTCCCTTCCAGCCTGTCTACCGCCTCCTTAAATCTTAGCTGCACCCCTTGCATCCTTATGCCTTGACATCTTAATTATCTGGCTAACCTGTTTCTGCCTATAGCTGTGGATGACGTCATGAGAGGCCTGTCTGTGCAGAGATTTATTCTCAATTACCTCCCTGTGTGAGTGTGCTTAAGTCTGGGATAAGAATGCTTTAAATCAAATTAGTTTAAAGATTCGGATCAGTAGCAACAAGGCCCTTTTTGAGTTTGGCTAGACCTTCTATGCACTGGGCAAGTGATCACACAACCCGCTGGCAACAGAACCGTGCTTTTTTGCCTGTGTGTGTGTCTCAGATCGATAGCCCCAGAGCCTTGTCTCAGTTGAGCTGGTGTGTATTTGCATCCGCTTTGGTGGCTTGACTTGGCATTTAAACCAGAGTAACTGAGTACAGAGCCTGGTGCTACATTTCCAGAGCGTTGGACTGATGTGGGCTTATCAGTAATGCAGGATGAGGCTGAAAGACAATGCACAGAGCAGCTGAGTGACTTAGCTCACTTAAACAGCTACAGGCGGGTGCAGGCTTAACAGCTGTGCCGTACAAACTGGCATGCGCGCCCCAGCTGCAGTCCTGCTTCCTGTTTTGAATGCTTGTAAGTTGGACTTGCGTCTCCAATGTTGGTCCCTTGCAAGGGGGAGCAGGTGAAGAGGAAGTGAAGAAACGGAGCTGAGGCTGGAAGGTGCTCTCAGTTCTTACCTTCCACTCACGATGGTGCCCAGAGCAGCAGCCTCCTCCTGGGAGTGGCATTTGTACAAAGATGCTGTGGTTTAGGGTTTTTTTTTTTTTATTTTTTATTCCCCGCCCCCCCTTTGGACCCAGCTGCTTCCAAGCCTCACATAATAAGGAACTGATATAGTAGGCTGGAGATGTTGTAATTCGCTCATTTGTCTCATAGACACACACAATGTGTTCTCTCCCCCAGCAGCCTGCCTAGGCCATTAAGCTAAGATTTCCCCAGAGGAAGACAAAGCTCCCAGTGCCACGAGGGATCTGAGACTGGCACCATCCCTGTTCCCTGGGTAGGATGTAGGATGACTGCTGCTGTAGCAAGCAGGCATGGGAAGGAGGAGGCAGGGGAAATCCATACTCGTGAAGAAGTGCCTGGAGGTTATCTGGCCTGACTTGAACCTTTGTGGACAGGGGACGTGGTCACTTATCCCTTGCTTTTGGGCCAGCTTTGAGCACTTATAAGAGCCCAGAGACGGAGCAGATCTGTTTGGAAGAGAGTCTTGTGGAGATGCGTGTGGGTGGATTTCCTGGTTTCCTGCCTCCTGGAATTTTTCCAGGTGACAAGAAGGGTCTGGAGTGGTTTGGTGGTCCCGGTTTGAAATGGGAGAAAAGTTTAAGTGATGTGCCGGGGGAAGGTACTCTTCAGACGGAGCTGGTTTATTGACCATCACTTGTTCACTGGAGCCCCCGGGGCCCCTTGTGAACCTTCACGTGTATGAACAGCATGACGTTTGAGCAGCCCAGAGAGCGAGAGCAAGGCACAGTTTGTCCTGGTCTAGTCATGGGGCCCATAATTGCTGCTTGGAAACTTCCAGCAAGTGACTTTTCCTCCCTTGAAAATGGCCTTTCCATGAAATTGCTCTTTTTTTTTTTTTATTCCATGGAGAAAGATTCCATTTGTGCAAAGCAACATTAACAGCATTGTTTTCCACTGGGAAAACTGGAATGATTTTTTTTATTTTTTTTGCCTAGATCCGTTTGACCTGACTTGGAACACTTTTCTTTATTGAATGGACTGGAAACGATTCCTTTCTGAGTCAGTTAAGAACAAAATGAACCTGCCTTTTAAATGCATTGCCCTGGGGGAAGGGCTGTCCTCTAGGGAGCCCAGCTCATAGCCACAGAAGCAATAATACCTGTAAGGCAACATGGACCCAGCCGGCTAATTTTAGGAAAGTCAAAATGTTTCAGTTAAAAAATGTAGATGCGAGAAAGCCTCAGCCTCTCCAAAACACAACTTTTAGAACGTTCTGTCCTGCAAAAAAAAAAAATCCTGTCCTGAATCAGGACGCAAACTAATGTTGACACGTGTTTGGTGAGATGGAAATTTCAAAGCTTGCTAAATTATTAATCCAGTGGGTTTAAAACCAAGATTTTTCCTGGCTCTTGGGAATAAATATCTCTGTGCATCGAAGTCTGTTTGCTACCTAGTAAAAAGCTCCTCACCCTGGAACTGAAGATTAGGGTAGACTAATTGGACCGGCCACACAAGTGTTGCTGGGCTTCGTGGGAGAAGAACCTGCTCTGGGGTTTGTGCTCGTTTGGAGTGGAATTGGGAAAGGGAAGGGAGCCTCTTGGGACATTTGGGCCTATGCTTTCCAAAATGGCTAGCTGGAACCCACACCAGCAAAGTGCAGGTCTTCGGTTTGCAGGGGCGCAACCAGGGTTTCGTCCGTTCACATGTAGGGACTTGATCCTACAGCTGAGACAGGAAAAGCCCATCTCTTCAGGTGCCGAGATCCCAGGTACCGTCTCTAGACATGACCTGTTCAAGGGCATTATTGCAGGCTGAGATGTCTGTCTTGAGACCTCTTGAGGGGACCCAACTCTTAGGACAGAGCTGAGCGCCCTCCATTTATCCCTTTAAATCCTTTTGAGGTCCTGGGAACCGTGGGCTCTCTGATCCCAAGTGACTCCTGGCGACGTTCATGTCATCACCTTGTGACGGAGGTCGGAAAGGGCCGTGCAAGCTGTCTGAAGAGGTGGCTGAGGTCTGTTGTTCTTCTCGCGCCGTCTTGGTGTCCTTCCTCTAATGGCGGGATCGCTGAGACGCCCTCAACTCTCCTCGCCGGGACAGCCATCAACGCTCCCTTGCCAGTGCGGTAGTGCCAGCCCTCTCCTGCAGGCAGCTGCCCTCCAGCCACGTAACCCTGGGACCAGGCAGGTCTTCTTTGCCCTTGCTCCCCCATTCCTAAGGCACCCTTGGGTACCAGCCTCGCCTGTACCTCTTGCTTGGAGGAGCCCAGGAGTCCTCCAGACGGGCCATGTTGCTATAGCTACTGAGTTCAGCCGTGATAATATAGAAGGCAAGAATGGAGCGGAAGGGGCAGAATCTGATTACTCTGCAGAGATGTATTACATGCCTCATTGCACTGTCTGGAAGGTTAGGGCTTCTTTAAGAGAGCATTCCCAGCAACGGGGCAGACTAATAGAAAAATGTCCCTTCTGTTTCTTCCAAATAAAAGCAGTTAAGGGCAAAAACGGCTGCTTCTGTCAGCAGTGAAGTGACATATTGCTGTGCTCTGCTGAGAGGTTAATACTCATAGCAGGAGCAGCAGAGGAGCTCACGTGCTTCTTACTGCGCTGGCTGGCCTGGCTGGGAAGGGCTCGCTCGGGGCAGGGGTGAAGGAGGGGATAGCACAGCCCTGTTACCGTTTAGACTGACTATGGATTGGCGGGCAGAGGCTAACGAAGCATCTGGCTAGTCCTCGACCTTGACAGTGCGCTGCAGGGCCTTGCTCGCAGCCTCTGAGCTGTCATTCTCCAGTGTCACTAATGTGAGCATAGTTGTTCTCAGTTTTGTTCGCTTCCCAGCCGCTAGTCCCAGGCAGAGCGGAAAGTGGATTTCTTGTCCCTTTCCTGCCCTGTTCAGCACCGTAAAAGAAAACTGAAGGCAGCTGCTTGACTAATTATCGGTCGTATTGCAGTAATGCCCAGCTGTACCCAGACCCCAGATTGTGCTGGGGCGTGGGCAGACACGGGTCATACGCTCTACAGGGTGGCTAAATTAACTCATCTCCGGGCTGAATTTAAAAGCCTGGCTTTTGCTTCTGAAGCGAATTCGCAAAGCTCCTTCCCAAATGGGTCGGCTCTGGGTTCCAGACAACAATAGCATCTATCTTTCCCACCCCACCCTCCCTGCCCAGCTCCCCGCTATTGGATTAAATTAGCATCAAGGAAAGATTTAGCTGGTGGATCATAAGAGAGGCAAAAGCAGCGGGGATGGGGATTATGGGTTCATGGTTTGATTTATTCGCCCTCCCCCCCAAATAAAACTAAAAAGAAATAGCTCTGGAATGGCTTTGTTTGGATGCAGCGGCACTTATTAGAGCGTGGGGTTGGCCTTACCCTCTGCCGTGGGGGTCTGGCGGGCAGGCTGCAGCAGAAGGCTGCACAGAGGGGCATATCGCTTTCACAGCAGCATGGGGCATAAAGTGATTATCTTTAGGTTGCATCCAAAGCCAGATGCAGAAAAACATGTTATTTAAATTTCGCAGGATCAGGTTCCTCACCAACTGGCTGTCAGAGCATCAACACCATGGAGGTTACGATTGCTCCCCAATCCACCACCCTGGTGTGGACTTGGTCGATGATGCCAATGCTCCTGCCCTAGCGTTTCCACCCCGCCTTTCCACTTGATGCCCCTTCCTCCCTCCCTCATTGGCCCCGGCAGTCTCGAAACCCTGCCTTGCCTTTCCCTCTACTCCCCTATGCCGTCTTGCTGGCAGCTCCATCTTTCTCGTCTTGGGCAGCAGGTCCCCCCTATTCCACATCCTTGTTGAAGTGTGGCGCCCAGAACTGGATGCAGTACTCCAGATGGGGTCTCACCAGTGCGGAGTACAGTGGGAGTATGTATCACTTCCTTAGTTCTGTATGAGATGCATCAGTTCATTCATGCCAGCATGTTGTTTGCCCTGCTGGCCACAGCATTGCACTGCTGACTCATGTTCATGCGATGG